GTGTGTGTGTGTGTGTGTGTGTGTGTGTGTCTGTGTGTGTGTGCATGTGTGTGTGTGTGTCTGTGAAACCTAATAAAATAAAATTAACAATAAAAAGTAAAAAATTAAGAACAAATATTCTCTTAAAATAATTCAAGTGTCTTTTCAAGAGGTGTAATCTAGAGAGGTGATAAAGTTGTCACAGATCATTGTTTAAAATGGAAATTTATGTTAATGAGTGGGTCTTACAAAGCATTTTTCTTTATAATGGAAAAAAATGAGAAATTATATTTCTTTCAGAAAATTTAAACCTGAAAGAAAAGAAATTTGAGGACAATTAGGATTTGTTTAGGATTGTGAAATTGATTTATGACAATTAAACACAGCTCTCCACCATAATGACTGAAAATATAATAATAGATGAATTGATGAATATAATCAAAACTGGAAAGTATGGTAGTATTTATAGTGCTGATGTAAATGTATGCTGATTCAGTCTACTGAGAATCATTGAGAAGAATAGAAATGTAATGAAAACTCAAAATGCCTGGATGCCTGAATTTGGAGTGAAATGTGCTTAATTGTCATGACAATTAAATAAATAGTTCTTAACTAAACAGGTTCGTTTAAATTTATCTTACAACTTTTTTCTTTGATTATGGAGTAGAATATGACCTGAGCGTATTCCTCAAACGAATGCTGTTCTTCAGTTTAGTGAACACGATGTTTGAGACGTGCAGCTAAGTGTGCTGTGTTTTCTCGTTGTGTGGATGACGGTAGATCTAGCAGCGAAGATCCAGGTGACTAAGCTGAAGGCAGCGGAGGCCAACGACACGGCCATAAACGTGCTCCACCGCCTGAAGGACATGAACCTCAACCTGATGGGTCTGAAGAGGAACCACAGCAAACTGGAGGACGACGTCAAGACAGCCAACAACCTGATCAAAGACCCGGAGAAAAACAGTACGACTTCCATCCAACTCCAGCAACAATCCTTCTTTATAGAGACAACAGCTGCATGGATCGTGAAGATTTGATTTCTTAATTGAAATGTTTGTGTTACAAGATCACTTAAATGCTTATTTGGTATTTTTCCCCCCCATTTGATTTTGAACGTCGACAGCAATAAGTATGTATACACGATTTTCTTCTTTCATCTGTGCGAATGAGTTTAAGAGCTCTCTCCGCTCCCCGAGGCTTCAGCATGGTGCTTTTATCCGAAGCGCTGCATGTACAGAGAGAGTGTTTTCTCCGTTCTTTGTTTCAACCCAACAGGATTAAACGCAGCCTTTGACAGCTTCACTAAGCTTGTTATCCTAATGAGCGCGTTAGCTAATTACAGATGGAAACTCTTCTCTTTTGAAATAACAGCTCCTTGTCTTTCGCTGCCTACGCTGCAAATGAGAGATATATAACATGTCACTTTTTCCAATTTCTTTTGTTTCTGAAGTCTTTCATAGTCTCCTGCGCTCTTTTGTTAGAGCCTTTCATTCTCCGCTCTCCAGCATGTTTCTAATGTGGTGTTTATTTTCTGCTGTCTCGCTCTCGTGTGTTAATGTTGGTGACGGCCGCTCCTCTGCGTGTGTGTCTGCAGTTCATGCGGCCGGAGCTAAAGTCAAGGATCTGGAGAACGAGGCCGATAGGTTGTTGGAGAAACTGAAGCCCATTCAGGAGCTCCAGGACAACCTGAAGAAAAACATCTCGCAGATCAAAGAGCTCATCAGCCAGGCTCGCAAACAGGCCAACTCTGTGAGTACTGCCCATCATACTCCAGGAGAAGCATGCTTTATTCACTGAAATCAATTTCACATCAGTTTATTAAAATATTGAAGTTCAAGAACAATGACATTTTTAGGGCCCTACGGAATTTTTAACCAAGTTCTGTGCTTTCTGTTTGAATTTTTCTGGCATTCTTTCTTAATGGTTTAAAAAAGACTTTATCTGTTTATTTTCAGATCTTTTGTGTTGTGTATTTTATTGTTTCTGGTAATCAAATGAAGGCATAAAACATTAACAATTTAATTCATCTGAAAATTCATTATTTTTTTTAATAAAAACATGGAAGAAGAAAAAAATGTGAGTATTCGTTAAAAAAGTATCCAGCACTCTCTTCAATCCACATGTAACATTTATTTAAAGTCATAAATAAATTCTTATTTATTTACATGCCGAGATGCAAGCAATCTTCTTTGTTGTTACAAAGTGCAAGAAATCAAATGCTCAGTGCATTTTAAAACAACAAACATTCACGCAAGTGTTCAAATTCTTCATATCTTAATATACAATTCCTGACATATGTAATAATAGTTAACAAACATATATATTTAAAGAGAAGGATATACAAAATATGCAAGAATATATATATTTTTTTTAATTCACATTATAGAAAACGAGATAAATTCAAGTCTTCATTCAAACCATGCGGTTGTACCGTATTGAGGCAAAAAAAAATCTATTTACTTCCAGTTTGTAATAATTTCTGTTCCGTATTCGTGTAACAACAAATTGGAAGTACCATATCTATTCCCCAAAATTAATTAATTAACTTAATGATTTACTGTAACTCTGTGAAATGTAAAATGAATGTAGAAGTTTAATATGTCACATATCACCATTTAATTAAGTCTACAGACCTACTTTTGATTTATCATACAAAATTTGCTAAATTCCGTGACATTCCGCGTTATACATTAAATTCCGTTTTTATGGCTGGATTCCGTCTGCATTTTTCACATCACAGAAATCATAGATCCCTAATTATCCTCATGCAAACAGCTCATAGCACTTGATGTGAACAGACTAGATACTTTCTGTCAGCATTACATTTTACGCACTATTCTATGAACACAAAATCAATAAACGTAGAATGGTCTTAATTTTAAGATGTTCTTGTTGATTTCTCCTTAAATATGCTACAAGCTGCAAGAAGAGAAATAAGATCATTCATCGTGTGCTGTCTGCACTCTCTGGCTTGACCTCTCATTACCTTTGACCCCTAGATTAAGGTGTCTGTGTCGTCCGGTGGAAGCTGAATCCGCACCTACCGGCCGGAGATCAAGAAAGGCCGCTATAACACCATCATCCTCCATGTGAACACGGTTGCTGCTGATAACCTGCTCTTCTACCTCGGATCGGCCAAATATGTGAGTGAGAAACTGTCTGGATTTCTTCAGCTCTTCTGCTTAAGCGGTCAGTCTGAGGTTCACACCGAAATTAACATGTACATTTGAGTCAGAAACAGAGATGACGAGGGAAATAAGAAGAGCTTATTACTCTTCCACACACACATAATGTCGTGTTTGATGAGAGCTGAATTTCCTCAGTCGTGTGTAGGTGGATTTCTTGGCAGTGGACATGAGGAAGGGTAAGGTGAACTTCCTGTGGGATGTGGGATCAGGGGTCGGCCGTGTCGAATATCCCGATCTCGTCATCAATGATGGAAACTGGCATCGGATCGAGGCCTCACGGTAATTCAGGGTTCACGTACACTGTGTGTTTTGCTAAAAAACAATCATTTCCTCGTTTTCTATCAGATTTTATCACTCTTTGTCACCCTTACACATCTTTAAAACAAGATTTTATATACAGGTGCATTTCAATAAATTAGAATGTCGTGGAAAAGTTCATTTATTTCAGTAATTCAACTAAAATTGTGAAACTCGCGTATTAAATAAATTCAATGCACACAGACTGAAGTAGTTTAAGTCTTTGGTTCTTTTAATTGTGATGATTTTGGCTCACATTTAACAAAAACCCACCAATTCACTATCTCAACAAATTAGAATACTTCATAAGACCAATAAAAA